TAGCGGGTTTGAGCCTGGGGCTTGTGGGCATGGCCCCGAATTCAATCCTTGGCGTCCCCCACCTGAGGAGACAAGCACTGAGCTGAGAGGGCGCTGCCACCTGGGCCCCCAGGCCCACACTCAAAACACACATATTTGAGGAGGCTCAGTCTGTGCTGGGGTCAGGGCCTGGGGGTGTCCAGTGGCCACAGATTCTCCCAGGGGAGGCCAAGGGGCTCCCACCTAGGGACAAGGGCTGGAGCAATCCTTTCCTTCTGAATCTCTGGACAACAAGCAACATGCCCCGCATGGGGGGGCTCTTGGCAGGGGTCGGGAGGGGTGGCCAGCCCGAGGAACCACCCTCCCAACCCCACAGACGCCCTGCTGCTGCTCCTCCCTTCCAGGCCTGCCCTATGGGCCTACTTTGCTTGGGTACCCTCGGGGAGGCTTCTGATCCAGGGTGGCTGTCCCGCCCCTCACATGGCCCCTTGGCCCTGTGTCCTGTCCTGAGCGAGGCTGAAGGACACATTCCACCTCCTGCAAGGCTCGGCTAGGCCTGTGAGAAAGATTGAGGCCTGAGAGGACAGGGTGGCCAGGGGACAGCAATGGAAGGGGCTGCCCGGCCCCCAGACCAGCCACGTCCATAGAGCCCAGGCCTGAGCATGGGCCTGGGAAAGGCCCCTCACTGGCCAGGCTGACCCCTCACTGACTGCCCCCCTCCCCACCCGCTCCCGTCCCTCCCCACCAGACCAGAGCCGCAGGCCTTCAGGGCCAGCATGGCCCTGAGGTGTCTGTGCAGCCTGCAGCCTGGCCTAGCCTCTGCTAGTGGCCTTGCCTGTGACCACTCACACACGCTGGGGGCAGGACCAGGTGCTGGGGGCCTGAGGCCAGAGGGCACTGAGTTGGAGTGGGGGCAGGGGAGGAAGGCCCTGGTGAGGACCTGCACACCCCCAAGCTGGCAGCCCTCTGGGGGCCCTACAAGGAGCCCACCCCCAGCATTCGCTGCAGGCAGCAAAGATGAGGCAGACTTGATCAGAGCCCAGCAGCGCCTGAGCTTTGCATAAACCACTGGTGGTCAAGCCACACAGCCCAAACGTCCAGCCCCAACATGCCACGTCTGAGGTCAAAGGTTGGGTCCAGAAGCCTTCACAAGGGCTCCCAGGGCTGGGGGCAGTGGCTCACACCTGTAGTCCTAGCAGTTTGGGAGGCCTAGGTGGGAGGATCACCTGAGGCCAGGAGCTCGAGGCTGTAGTGACCTGTGATTGCACCACTGCCCTCCAGAGGGAGACACCGTTTCAAAAAAAAGAGGGGGCTCTGAGGGAGGAGCAGTGGGCACAGAAATGTCCTGACAGGCTGAAGGGCAGGGGCAGGTGAGGAGGCCCTGTGGTCCCCAAGGCAACATGGGCCAGAGGGTGCTGAGGGAGCCGAGACAGGTCTCCCAGGACGGGCTTCCCAGGCTGCCTGAGCACAGACGTGGCCGGGCCCCCAGCGAGGCCAGCATCCTACAGCCTTGGGAGGCCTGGTCAGGGCCCTGCGAGGTCAGGGTCTGGGTGGGCCCTCAGCTCAGCTGCAGAGGGGGTGGGGCACGGGGCCGGCTCTCCCAGTTGGGTGGGAACCCTGGCCAGCCCAGCACGGGGCGGGAGCTCCTGGTGACCTCAAGGCCTTCCCTGGACTGACTGAAGTCCCCAGAGGCAGTCTTCTGGAGCAGGCAGCCTCCCTTGCTGTCAGCATTGGGTCCCGACGGTGGGCAGCTGGACTGGAGGGGCCTCACCCAGCACTCAGGGTGAGAAAAGGCCTTCTCCTCACGGACCCAAGTCGTCCTAATGACCAAGTACTTTTTTTTTTCCTCTTAAAAAATCTCTAGGCCGGGCGCGGTGGCTCACGCCTGTTATCCTAGCTCTCTGGGAGGCCGAGGCGGGAGGATTGTTTGAGCTCAGGAGTTCGAGACCAGCCTGAGCAAGAGCGAGACCCCGTCTCTACTAAAATTAGAAAGAAATTAATTGGACAACTAAAAATACATAGAAAAAATTAGCCGAGCATGGTGGCACATGCCTGTAGTCCCAGCTACTGGGGAGGCTGAGGCAGGAGGATCACTTGAGCCCAGGAGTTTGAGGTTGCTGTGAGCTAGGATGACGCCACGGCACTCTAGCCCAGGCAACACAGTAAGACTCTGTCTCAAAAAAAAAAAAAAAAAAATCTCTAAGATACTAAAATTTTATGGAAGAGGTGAAAAAAGTTCAAATTTTCACTCATCCTCAATTGGTTTTTCAGATCTAAAATCCTTGCTCTGACCAACCGGGCCTTGATGATGGGTTTCTAGAAGGCTCAGGACTTCTGCCGATGGAGGGGCGACTAGCGGCCCCCAGGAAAAGGCTCTGGCTGGGTGCACTGGCATCGCCCACCCGGTTGCCTAGGGGTTGCTCGCCCTGTTCCCAAATCCAGGTATCACAGGTTGAATGGTGGCCCCAAATGGTCCCCCTGGAACCTCAGCATGTGACCTTACTTGGAATACGAGCCTTTGCAAATATAATTAGGGCAAGGAGTCTGCGATGAAAACCTCCTGGATTAGGGTGGCCCTAAATGCAGTGACTCTGTCATAAGAGAAAGGAGGTCTGGACACGACACAGCATGGGGGCGGGGTGGGGACACATGAAGACTGAGCGGAGACCCCGGCGACCAGGCACAGCCAGGAATCACCTGGAGCCACCGGAAGTTGGGAGAGGCAGGAAGGATCCTCCTGTAGGGTCTCTGGAGGAGGCTGACAGCTTTATTATGGAATTCTGTCTCCAGAACCCTGAAGAAATAAATGTGTTGTTTTAAGCCACCAAATTTTGGGGGTAATTTGTTAACAGCAGCCACAAGAAACTGACAACGGAGGAAAGCGGTGATGGGTGTGGGAACAGAAGGGGGCTTGGGAAAGGGAGCACGGGGACATCGGATCCCACTGGGGTTGGGGGTCCAGTGAACAGTGGGCACATGGGACTGGACCCTGGGAGAGAAGCTGTCCCCAGCTGTTGGCCCTGGATGTCATGGGGCCGGCCCTTTCCGGGGAGGGTGGTGGGCGGGGCTTGGCTCCCAGGCCCTGCCCTGAGGGAAGGTGACCTGCCCTCATTCCTTTGACATTGCCTAAGCACCTCCCCTAGGCCAGGTCCCAGGAAGCCAGGGGCAGGGGGTTCCTGCAGGTGGAAGTGCAACCACTGGCCGGTCCCTGCCAGAAGGAAGCGCCGAGGCCAGGGCCAGGAGGTGCTGCTGTGTCCCTCCACGGCACAAAGCCAGGACTCGAGGCTGTCCAGGCTTTGTTGATTTTACCATGTGGAGAAACACTCGCTTGGGAAGGTGGTTGGTGCCACAGTCCCTTCTACCTGGCGTAGAGTAAGTCTCTAAAAGGGGCGCCTAGAGCCAAATTCAGCCTCAGGAGAGGATACTTCTCGCCCTGACAATGATCCAGCCTCAACAGACTCAACCCCAGCTCCCCAGGGCCACCACCAGGAGTGGCAGGGTCTGTGGGACCCTTCTGGATATCACTTTTTCAGTATCCCGAGGGGGTCCTGGACCCCTGCCAGTGTCTGATGCACCTCCATGACTGTCCAGAAAGTGTGGGCTCATGCACGCTCACTGCAGCAAAGGCCACCACTCAGCCCCTCCCAGGCTCTGCGCTCAGTGAGTGCCCAGGGCAGGTGTTGACCTCCCCAGCATCCAACCCAGGGCAATGAAGTCTGGCAGGCAGGTGTCAAATACTGTTACACGTGACATCATCTGCTGGGCACTGTGGGCAGCTCCGTAAAGCAGTTCCGTACAAGAAGGGGAGCAGGGAGATCAATCTCCGGCCCCCTGCTCTGTGCCCACGGAACCCCAGGGGACACCTGGATGCTTAGAGCTCCCCGGAGGTGGGGTTGGAAGCGGGGATGTGCATCGAGGGAGACCTCACCTCCCCTCGACCTGGACACATGGAAAATGCTCTGGGGACAAACCAGGAGGAAGTCATTCCAAAGGTGACCCAGGTGAGGAAAGCTTGGGGCTTGGAAGTGGGAAAGCCGCAGCGCCCGGTCGGAGCCACCGAGACCCCTGGACTGCAACACCTGCTCGGCGGGGCCGCCCACGCCGGCCAACCCCAGGTCTGGCCCTCCCTGGTTACGCACAGCAACGCCGGGCGCCTGCCTCGGGCACCGCTCTTCACGGCGATCCCAGCCTCGAGTCCCGGTCGGCGCCAGAGTGACGTCGGGGCGGGTTCTCGTTCCTCAAACCCGCCCCGCAAAGGGGCTTCGCTGGTCCTGACCGCGGAGCGCGCCCCTCCAAGAGGGAGACCCCAAGCTGACAACCAGAGACGCACCCCGGGCGCACACAATCGCGGCTCCCCACTGGGTTTCAGGGGTCACCGACCCCGCAGGCTAGCCGTGGACCCCGAGCTGGCGCTGCTCGTCTCAGCGTCACGGAGAACCCCGCGCACCGCTGGGTGGCCCCCGCCCCGGCCCCTCCGCGGGAGCCTCCCCGCCCCGCCCCGCCCCGCCGGCCCGAACGTCCGCGTCCCTCGTCCCGCTCCTTCCCCTCGGGCGGAGGACGCCAGGGACACCCGCGAGAGTCCGCCCGCCCGCGCGCCGCGCCCGGTTCCCGCGGGCTTAGGACATGGTGACGCGGCCGCCACGGCAAGCTGGCGGCGCCGCTGGTGTAGTGGTATCATGCAAGATTCCCATTCTTGCGACCCGGGTTCGATTCCCGGGCGGCGCAGGCGACGTTTTGACTTTTGACGAACTCCCGCCCCTCTCTGGGGAGAGGAGAGACGACCCGGACACGGGAGGCCCCGGTCCTGGTGCGGCGCGAACGATACCAACGTTGCGGTAAGTGCTGCGAAAACGCCGGCTCGGCCGAGGGCGACCGGGAGCTGGACCCTTAAGGGCTCCAGAACCCGCAGCCCAGCCATCCACGCGGCTTCCGGCCCCTTGGCGGGCCGCGCGCAGCCTCCTGGGAGTTGTAGTCGCTCCAGCCGGCGACGCGGCCACCACGCCACAGCTCCCGACGTGCCCCGCGCCGGGCGGACGCCACAACTCCCGACGTGCCCCGCGCCAAGCCGGCGGCGGGGCGGATGGTGCCGCAACGATGCTGGTGGCGGCGGCCGCAGAGCGAAACAAGGAGCCCATCCTGAGCGTGCTGCGGCAGTACGTGGACCCGGCCCAGCGCGGCGTCCGTGTGCTCGAGGTGGCCTCGGGCTCCGGCCAGCACGCGGCCCACTTCGCGCAGGCCTTCCCCCACGCCGAGTGGCAGCCGTCCGACGTGGACCAGCGCTGCCTGGACAGGTGCGGCCGGGGCAGGCCGAGCCCGGAGAGCCGCCGTCCCTGTCCCGCTCCGCCTGCGGCCCTTCCCCGCACAGCCCTGGCTGGAAAGGGCGGCCGGGGTCTGCGAGCGGAACGGCGGGAGCCCGGGGCACCCGGGCAGGCCCCCGGGGTTGTGAAAGTGGGCGGGCTTCGGGATGCGGCCAAACTGGGCCCCACCGTGCGCTCCCCTCCCGCAGCATCCTGGCCACCACTCAAGCCCAGGGGTTGTCGAACGTGAAGGCCCCGCTGTACCTAGACGTGACCTGGCATTGGGAGCAGTGGGGCGGGATCCTGCCGCAGTCGCTGGACCTGCTGCTCTGCATCAACATGATGCACATCAGTCCCTTGAAGTGCACGGAGGTCTGTGGGGGGAGCCGGGCAAGGCCACTCTCTGCCATGCTGCGCCCCGCACCCTGCTGCACTAAGGGGGGAGCAGGGATGCCAGGTTCACCCCGTGTTCCAGTAGGGACTGGGGGAGGGGCCTCACTACTGTCCTGTCTTCCCTTCTCAGGGGCTTTTCAGAGCAGCGGGACACCTGCTCAAACCCAAGGCTCTGCTCATCACCTATGGAGTGAGTGGTCCTGCCAGAGAGAGGGCCTCCCCACAGTAGCCCCAGCTGTGCCCCCACCCCCCGCCTGGTTCCCACTGGCGTTGCTGCTATCCGGATTCCCTGCCTCCCTGCTCAGCCTGGCCCCTGTCTGAGCTCTGGCCAGCCACGGGCACAGCCTCCCTCTTCTTCAGGGACCCTCCTGTGGCTACCTGTCACCAATATTTGAACACTCCCAGGCCCTCCCCCTCCTTGTCACCTGCTAGTCTCTCTGTAGCCTCTTGGTTGTCCACCACCTGGGGGCAGGGAGGGGGCTATGTCCATTTCATTCTTTGGGCCCAGCCTACAAGTCTGTCCCAAGGCCCACTGGGGAATGGCTTACTGTCATCCAGTGGCTGTGTCCCCTGTCCCCACAGCCCTATGCTGTCGAAGGGAAGATCTCTCCCCAGAGCAACGTGGACTTTGACCTAACCCTCAGATGCAGGTCAGAGGTGGGTGGGAGGGGGCCTGGCTCTGAGGGCAGGTGGGCTGAGCACCCCCTCAGGCCATGACTCTATCTCCCTTTCTCCTGCAGGAACCCAGAGTGGGGGCTTCGGGACACAGCTTTCCTGGGGGACCTGGGCCAGGCCAGTGGTCTGCTCCTGGAGAGGATGGTAGGTGGGGAGGGCTGGGGGCCCAGGCAGCCTCCCTGTGGTCCAAGGGCCGCTCCTCCAGCAAAGCATTTCTCCAGGTGGACATGCCTGCTAACAACAAGTGCTTGATTTTCCGGAAAAAGTAACCCTTCTCCTTCATCCTGAATGCCTGCATCCCAGCCAAAGGCTCTGCCGGGCACAAACCCAGACCACCAGCCCCTGGGCCAGGCCTTAGGGACAACCAGCCCCACCCAGTCAGGGCTCTTGCTGCAGCCGATGGGCTGCCCAGGCCCAGCCTGCCTCAGAATAAAGTGTTTCTGCTGCCCTGTTGCTGGTGTCCACCATGCCACCTCCTGGGAGCACCTTGTGGGAGTGGGTGGGCAGGAGAGGTCGGGGCTTGGGGGATTCCTGGGCCTTGCTGCTAGAGCTCGGGCAGTGGAGGGGAACCTAGGGACAGTTGTTAATGTGAGATGGGGCTGGTCCCTGCCTGTTCTCCTGGAAAGACTGTTGGGGATGCAGAAGGTCCCCTGCGGTGAGCTGGTGCCTGGTGACCTTGCACCAGGGCCAAAGCCCCACTTTGTGGCAGTGCCTTGGCTGGAAAACAGGCTGGGGGTGGGGGCATCTGGAAGGGTCAGAGTACCCTGACCAGCACCAGCAGGCCCGGAGGTTGGGGCAAGGGGATGCCTTTTATTCCACAGGGCAGGAGGGCGGCAGTGGGTGAGGCCAGGGGAGGCTAGTCCTGGAAGCGGTTGAGCAGCGCACAGGCCTTCTTCTCGAGCAGCTCCGAGATCTTCTTAATGCGCTTCTCACTGGCTGCACGGACGTAGCTGCCGGAGTCCAGCACAGCCACGCCGTCACGCACCTCACCCATGATGACCAGTGGCCCGTCGCCAGCCGTCACATTGGGGCAGGGGCAGGCCCAGTCCATGCCGCTCAGTGTCACCTCCAGGTACTTGGTGCCCAAGAACTTGAGGCCCATCTTGTCATCCTTGAGCACGTCATCAAGGGCCACACGGGCAATGCCGCCGCCCGCGGCCTCAGGCTCCTCCAGCACCTCGGTGAGCCGCCCCACGATGGCGAAGTCGCTGCGGCACAGGCTGGGCGCCAGCTTGCTCCGGAAGCGGCAGGCGCGGCAGGGCGGTGTTCGAGGCACGGGGCAGGCGTCCTCACAGCTCTCGCGGCTCTCAAAGTTGTTGCCGTTGCCCTCACAGCCACTGTACACAAAGGGGTGGCACTGCTGCAGCAGCGGGCTGTAGGCCCAGCGCGGCTCCCAGCCCTGGCAGGGGCCCTGCACGGCGGGCAGCACGCAGGCATCGCCAGGGCCGCGGGCACAGGCCTGCTGGCACGCCTCGTACGTCTCGAAGCCCCTGGCAGCCCCGTCACAGCCACGTGCCGGGAAGGTCATGCAGCCGCCTCGCTGAGGGTCAAAGTGCCAGAGGACGCGGTGTGGGGAGGCTGGGCCAGCGCAGGCATGCGTGTCTGGCAGGCACTCAGCCGGGGCTGGGACGCTGGGGTCCCTGCCCCTGGCCAGCTCCCGCTGGACCACGGAGAGCGGGAAGTCGGCTCGCAGCAGGCCGGCAGCGTTGCGTGCGGTGCAGGTGTACAGGCCAGCGTCCTCGGGCCGCGCGTTGTAGAGCACCAACTGCCCGATGCTGGTGACCACCACGTTGCCGTACATCTGGTCCGGGCGCATGATCAGGTTCTCCCGCTGGTGGCTCTGCTTCTCCCAGGTCACGGCGGGCGGGGGGCGGCCGCTGACGTCGCAGTGGAGGCTGGCCGTGCCCCCCACCTGCACCGCCTGAGGGGAAGGGCTGCTGTACAGGGCAGGCGGGACGGGGGCAACGCCGGGTGTTGGGCGGGCAGTGGTCTCGGGCGGCCCTGGGCTGCTGGGAGGCCAGCTTAGGACGTGCTTGCAGGGCACAACATGGAGGTGGAGGCCGCGCAGGCAGGCCTCGGCGTCCATGTAGCAGCGGTTGTAGTAGGTGAGGCCATCCGAGGCGCAGGTGAAGCTGGGCTCCTTCTCACAGCGGTCGCGGCAGCGGCACACAGGCTGCCCATCCCAGATGTCGCAGTCGGAGCCCTGCTGTGGGCACACAAAGCCCTCGCAGGAGGCTGCTGTGGTGGGTGCGGCCAGGCCCCCGTCGGGGAAGCGGGCTGCCACGCAGCTCTGCAGCCCGCACACGTTGGTGCAGCACTTCTCAGCATCCGCGCAGTCCTGGGGGGCGGGGGGCACTTCAGCAGGAGCCCTGGCACCCTCCCTGCCTTCCCCCAGGGGCATCCAGCTCTGCATCAGGGCAGGGGTGAGCCTCCTGCTCTGTGGTTGCAGCCGATGACGACCGCCTCTCCCCGAGCCTCAGCCTCCCCTCTGGAAAGCCGAGGAAGTTCTTTCCATCTGGCCTGACAAGCTGCCACACCACGTGTCATCGAGTTTGACCTCACTGAATCTTCAGATATCCCCAAGCAAGTGTCTCTGTTTGCATCGCAGAGGAAAGAGAGGCCAGGGAGGATGTGCTCACAGCCCCCCACTGCTCTGGCCCCTCAGACCACCCCTTGGAAGGTCGGCGTCCCCACTGGCCCCTGCTATGAGAAGGCAGTGGCCCAGGGCAGGGGGTGCTATGAGGGGCGGGCCTGCTGGCCTGGTCAGAGGCCTGCGTCCACTCTGCTCTTCAGAGGATAAGTGGTGTCCAGCGTGGAAGGGGTGGGTGTGGTGGGCAGGAGACAGATGGAGTGGGGAAGGGACAAGTGAGGGCGTATGTCCCCTGGGACCCTCCTTCGGGGCACAGCCCGACAGCCCAGCGAAGAGCATGGTGAGTGGGAGAAGGAATTGGACTCCTAGGGTTGGGGTCCCCTCGGGTGAAAGGACCAGGGGGTCTGAGTTTCCCCAGGCTGACCATGTCCAAGCCCCCAAGACTCCCTGTCCCCCCGACCATGCTCACCTGGTCCTGGCTGCACTCACGCTCACAGGTGCTCTGGGCATCCACCCACAGGTTGGGGCTGAGCTGGTTGGGGCACACGCCGGGGTGGCTCCCAGGCCCTGGCAGCAGGCCGGCCCCCGAGGTCAGCCCCATGAGGAGGAGGAGAGGCAGGAGCAGCCGTGGGGCCGGCATGGGGGCTGCCGGGCCAGGGGACTGGGGGGCTGTGGCCACCAGCCACCGTGTGGGCCCCACGGAGTACAGCCCCCAGCAGGCATCCGCCCTCTGGGCCACCGGCCACTCGCCGGGTGCCCTCCTGGCGCCTGGGCTGGAGCCCACAGCAGATGCTTGTCCTGGTGCCCCGACAGGTGGGTTCTGGGGTCTCTCTGTGCTCGAGTCTGCCCACGAGGCCAAGGCCCCGCCCCAGCGTCAGCCTGGCCCCTCTGTTCCAACTAGCGTGGCGGCTCCCAAGCCCTGGTCAGCACAGGGCAGGGGGCGGGGAGGGGCGGAAGGCTGGGGAGGGGCCAGAGGCCCAGGAGCACAGAGCTGCTGGCCACGAGGGTCACTACAGCGGGAGGGTAGGGAGGGGACGCTGTAACCCGAGCCCCTCCCTCCACACCAGCTCTAGGAGGAAGGGCAGCCGGGGTCAAAGTCTCCTGGAGGACCCTCCCTTGCAGCTCAGGGGAGAGGGGGCAGGGCTGGCAGATCTCAGCTTTTGTCCCTGACCCCTGGGGACCCCCTCAGGCTCCAGCTGAGGCAGGTCCAGGCTGGCAAGTGTCACCTGAGTGCAGGTGAGGCGTGGGGGCTCCACGCACAGCCCAGCAGAAGGTGGTGGGGGACTCTGCTCCCTTCCTGGGGAAGATTCCTCCACCATCTCCATGACCCTGAGGGTCACATCTGCCAGCAGGTCTTGGGGTTGAATTTCACTCCGCACACAGCCTGCTCCTCCCCTGCTGATCCTCGGGGGCGGGGCCTGACACACAACAGGGCTCAGGACTCCGTGCCCCCTGGGCCCTTCCTCAATGAGCAAAGGCATGTGAAAAAAGGCCCCTCAGCTGTGTGCAGGCACAGAGGTGCAGGCACAGAGATGGTCCACATCTGCACCGACCACAGCCTCCATCCCACAGGCTGCCCTGCCCTGGAAACATGGCTCACGTGCAGATGTCCAAGGGCACCTAAACGCACCCCTGAAAAGAGCAAGTGTCCTGGAAGCTGCTCCCGGAACACAGGCACCCCAGCAGTCTTTCCCAGCCCCCTGCCTCCCCGCAGGGGCCAGCACCCGCCTCCAGCCCAGCATCGAGGCCCCTCCTGGCAGGGGGGGCGCCCAGGTCTCAGCCAAGATCACACACAAGACAAAGGGCCACCCACAATCTGACCTCCCAAACCGTTCCGTGGCTCCAGAGGTTTGGAGCCCCACAGAATTTTCTCAGAGACAGGACGGAAAATGTCCCTGTAACCCTGCGTCTGACCTTCTGATCCTACAGACAGGGTAATAAGAGCCTAGTCTGGTCAGAATGAGGCTGAGAGGGCCACCAGGTGCCATCGTCTCTGCTAGACAAAGGGGGCTGAGGTGGCCCCTGACGCCATGGGGTGGGGGCAGCCCCCAGACAGGGAGGAGCAGCCCAGGGGGCCCCCCCGAGGCCAGCAGCTGTGGTCCTGAGTGTGGGGGCCACGTTCAGAGCAGAGCAGGCCCGTCCAGCTGGGCTCCCCTTGGTGGAACACAGCCGGGCACAGCCCTGCACACCCTATCCGAAGATGGCTTTCCCATTGAGGGTGCTACCCCAGGTCCTGGCTTTTAGGGGTCCTTGAAGCTGTGGCAAGTTGTGAGGGACAGCCCACCCTGGCCATGAGCAAGGGCTTGGCACGAGGGGGGCTGCCCACTGCTGGCCCAGCTGGGCTCCCTGTAAAACAGTGTGGCCTGCAGCCAGGCCTGGCCGCTCCGGCCCACCCTCGGCCCTCACTGGGTGGGTCTCTGGGTTGGTTTGGCAAGTACAAGACAGTGCTGGCCTGGCCTTGTCCCACCTGCACCCACCCCTGGTCAGACAGGATCGAGACTCATTCACACAAAACGAAACAGGGAGATCACAGCTGAATTGTGTTCACTGTACAAAGAGACGAGAACAGTTCACAAAGAACCCAGGAACGGCCCAAGTGTCAGACAGCAGCAAGGGTAGTGTTGACGTTGTGAACGCAGACTGCCCACCCCGCAAAGTCCCTGTGGTTTGTTCACAATTCCAGAGAAAGGGGCCCTGTGGGCAGCAACAAGACAGATGGGCCAGGCTGCCTCTGCCCAGCCCTGGTGGTGGCCAGGCCTGGGGCCCGGGTCCCCAATGGCTGCTGCAGGGGCCGTCTGGCTGGGCTCCCCTGGTCATCCGGCAGCTCACGTGGGCCACAGCCCTCGGCTCCTGGAACAGCAGGCCCTGGGGCTGCGAGTACACTGGAGCCCTGGTGACACCAACCGCAGGACTGTCTCAGAAACACGCTGTGAAGAATCCCCGGTGAGGGGGAGTCACAGGCCCACGGAGGGCTCCTTCTGCGTGCTGGCCCTGCCTGTGGCCAGGGAGCCCGAGGGCAGGAGGTAGAGTTGAGCACCAGTGCAACCCGCAGCGGAGTCACCAGGCCGGGTGGAGCCGATGCAGCCAGGGAGGAGAGAACAGGCACAGCTGACGCCGCCCTCGGTCGCTGGGGCAGAGCAGCACTGTGGAGGAAGGGTCGATGGCTTTCAGAGGAACAGTGACCAGGCCCTGCTGTGCCTGGGCCTCCAGCGCAAAGGCGAGGCTGGTGGTCCTGGAGGAGAGTGTGGCCTCCAGCACCAGCCACAGCGTGGACGAGGCTGTTCAGGCGGCATCATTAAAAACTAGGTCAGAATGGTTGCGGTGATGTGTGATCTCACAGGCAGAAGGGCTGTGACAGGTAAGCAGCAACTAAGGGACACATCCAGGGTCAGGGAACAGAAGCTGCCAAGAACAGAAGGCTGAACGGAAGTGCCCAGGGGTCCAGACGCTGCAGGAGGCCCCAGCAAGGACTGACAGCTCTGCGTCTTCACACTGGAGAGATGCTGAGTGCTGCGTCATCGACGTCAAGGTATCGAACCACAGCGGGAAGCTGCTCAGCCCCCGTGTAGGGAGGGACCCGTGGAGTGACAAGGATGGGGGCCCCTGAGTACACCCCACCTCGCCCCTCTGCAGCGAGTTGCCCAGGCCTGGTGCGGCACAGGGCGACGTCCAGACTGGCCGGAGCTCGCCCTGCCTGCTGCCGGCGCTCCCAGAGGGTGCGCTCGCCTGGCTGTTCCCTGCAGGTCTCTGGCAGCCCCAACCCCAAGTTGGGGCTGGAAGGAGGATTCCAGCTCTGACGGCTCATCCCTTCCCATCACCGCCTCCCATCTCCTTCCCGAGCCGTCTCAAGCTCATCCCCTTGGCTGACGAGGCCGCGCAGAGGCAAGCTTGCCACACGGCTGCACCGAGGCTTCCCTGAAGGCCCCTTAAAAATGTACAAAACAGGTGAAATGTTCTCTATATAAATAAGAAAGGCGAGCCAGGCTCCCTCCCGCCGGAGCCCAGGCACCTGTGGAGTCCTGGGTTTGTTTCGGACACATTCCCCGTAGCACCAGCAGCCCAGCTGCCCCGCAGCAGGCTCTCCGCCGCCTGCTGAAGAGGCGCGCTCTCTCTGCGCACGCTCCTCCCCTGCACCCAGCTCAGGTGTGGAGGAAAACCCAGGCTTCCTAGGCAGGGCCATGTGGCCGAGTCTTCCCTGCACGCAGCCTGGCCTGGCGTCTGGCCAGGGACATCCCCCGCGAGCCCTCCGAGTCTGTACAGGGCAGTGCCCAGCCAGGGTCTGCTAGGAGATCTTGCAGTTGCTCCTCGAGCAGTTCTGGGGTGGGCTCTGGGGGGGGCGGATGGACTTGGACCTCTTGAGGCTGTTGCCCTTGCTGCTGCCACCTCCAGCCCCGCTGGCCAGGGAGTAGGAGCGGCCGTGCATCATGACAGCGTTCATGCCGTTGGCCATGGAGAAGGACTTGAGGTGGCTCTTGATGGTGACCGGCAGCGGGAGCTTGTCGATGAGGTGCACGGGGGTGCAGGACACGATGGCACGGCAGCAGAGGTCCTGCAAGCTGAACACTGGGGTTGGGCAGAGAGGTCAGCCCGTGAGGAGGGCTGGGCAGGGCAGGGAGGCCCTGGGCAGGGAGACCTCGGCGTGAGCGGCCTCTCACCACCACATGAGCATGAGGCACGCATGGCTGGGAAGGTCTCAAAGCTCCTGGAGGGGTCCCCGGGACAGGGCTCCCTGGGGACCTGGACGCCCCAGCCACTCCACCCCAGCTGCCTGCACAAGTGAGGGTGCTTGCTGGGTGGCTCCCTTCTCCTGCCTTCCACCCTAAAGCTGCGCTTACTGGGAAGTGCCTGGGCAGGGGGCTGGCCTCTGGAGACCAGCTCTGCCCAGCCCTGGCTTGGAACCTGAAGCTCTGGCAACACTGGGGACTTCCTGGTGCGAGTGGGCGTGCGGACGAGCTCTGCAGGCCGAGCTGCTCTGGTGGCCACTACAGCTGTGGCTGGATTTTAACTCCATCTAGCTGAAGTCTACAGAGTGCGGGGGACGTGTCCCCAAGGGCAGGGGAGCCAGGTTCTGCCAGCCCAGGGCACAACCAGGCTCTTTATGGCCCCTGTTAAGGGAGGGAGTCCCCTGGGGGAGCTTAATCTTTGGGAAGATGAGAGTTTGACCCACCCTCGCCTGGCAGCAAGCCCTGTCAGGAGGCAGCTCAAGCCAGCGGCACTGTCTCCCCGAGGGAGGTCACCACAGGGGTTTCTGTTCGAGGAACGTGGCACAGACAACGCCACAAAGCTGTGAGCTCGGGCCCCTGTGATCACCTGACAGCAAGTATCTGTCTCCAGAACCATGAAGGCAGTGTAAACGCACTGCCTGCGCCAGCAGACGGGGACCCCACAAGCGCACGCAGAGTGGTAACGCGGCTGCAGCACCGTGAAGGCGAGGCTGCAGCCTGCGCGCCCCCGCCGGCTCAGGGGCCTGCATGGGCAGCCAGGAAGGCCACAGCTCTTAAAGAGCCACCCAGGGGCAGAGCTGCCGCCTCTGCCTCTGCCCTACTCTCCTCCCAGTCACCATGGCGCTGGCTGAGGGACCTGCCTGGACCCCCATCGTGTGGTTTCACTGCCCCGACCCCCGTGAACCTTGTGATCAGGACAGCCCAGTGGGGCAGGGACAGCATGGCCCACCAGCCCCGCCCCAGCCCCACCTCGATTGGGCCTCCAGATCTTCTCCATGCCGTGCCGCATGAGCACGATGCGAGACAGCTCCGTGAAAGACTCGATGACGTTGAAGTTGCACAGGGGGCTGACCTCAAAGAAGGTCATACAGTTCTTCTCCGCGTAGGCGCGCGCCTGCTCCGTTGGGACTTGCCGCTTGAAGGCCAGGTGCAGCCGGTTCCCAACCAAGATCCGAGGGACCCCAGGCGCATGCTTGGGGGCAGCAAAGAACTCAGCAAAGGCACAATGGCAGGACGCCCCCCACCCCTGGGCAGCCAGCGGGGCCCTCACTGTCTGGGTTCTGAGGTTGGGGGAGCCATGGGAGCAGGGGGTGGGCTAGGATGGCACCAACCTCTTCAGAGCTGGGCTGGAAGGCAGAGCCCGGGGCTCAGACCCCACCAAGCACAGGCCCTTCCAGCGTGGGGCCTGCTGGGGCCACAGGAGGAGCAGCAGGCAGAGGCCCCCAAGCCTCCCCCAGGGCCAGAGCCCGGGTGCCTCATGGAGCCCACCATTCCCTGGGAGGGGTCCACAGACCCACACCCACCTCATCGATCTCCTTGATCCAGCGGTCGATGCCGTCGAAGGACCAGCGGTTGGTGATGTCGTACACCAGGAGGATCCCCTGCAACAGACCCGAGGTCACCGGCGCATAGCTGGGCCCAGGCCAGGGAGGGACTCACCCGGACAGAAGGGGTCTGAGTTCCCAGGGAGGGCCAGGAACAAACACCGCCTAGCAGATTTCCCGGGTTACCAGAGTGACGGGCAGACGGACAGTGCCTCTCGCACAGAGCTCTGCAGCCCTGCCTCTACCTCCCTCCCCTCAGGGTGGGGCCTTCCTGCTGAGTGCGGACTGCTGCCAGGTGTCACAATTGCCACTTCCCCTCCCTCCCATGGACGCATCGGCTGGGGCAGAACTGACGTTTTTTCAACTTCTTTTCTGCAAACACATCGTAAGCATCACTCTGTAATCATTTAACAATCACGTGGGCCGAGAGCCAAGCCATGCACACCCAGGTCTGCCGTGCAGGGGCCGCAGCCCCTGGCCTGGGCAGGCAGATGAGGGGCCCGCCCTCCCGCGGACATAGCCTGGTCTTGCAGCTGCGGACGCCGAGTGTCCTCGCCATTAGTCCATCAGTGAACTGCACCCTGGGAGAACCTGGGACAGATCTGAGTGGGGGCACTTCTGAGTTTTCCAACTCAAACTTGCAGGGCAGAGTGCCAGTCACCCCGGGAGCAATTTCTGTGGAGCTCCCCAGCCAGGCAGAGCAGGATTTGCCACAGGGCTTCCCCACCATGTCCCTCAGAGACCAATTACCCAGAGCTCAGCTCTGGGTTGTTTCCCTCCGCCCTAAATCTCTACAGTGGCACTGCCATGGGCTCTCCAGCAGCACCACATGGAGCACGCTGCTCCCCACTCGCCCCCCTGTCAGCCTCAAACCCCACTTGAAGGAGGCTCAGGAATCAGACCCATCCAACGAGCTAGGACTCACACCACTCCCAGTCCCACGAAATCTTCAGTTAGCAAAGACTCTATCATGTAAGGGAGCGGAGAGAACAGTGTAGCTGAGACTGAAGGTAGAGGCCCCTCTCCTCTCTAAATTAGGATTTTTAAAGCCTCTTAAAACTGTCTTTTAATTTCTGAACTCTTAAGTGTGGTCCCCGGGTCTCGTTAAGATGAAGGTCTGAGTGACTAAGCCCAGCCCTGCGGATCCTCCTCTTACGACACAGGCCTGGCTCAGAGCGGGGCGGGGGCTCAGGAAGCACATCGCTCCCGGGAGACCCGCCGAGGCGGGAAGAAGACCAACTGCCAGAAGCCACTTTGGTGGGCAATAAAAGCTGAGCATTGAGATAAATGGACACGTCCCTGGGAGTCAGCCCTGCGGCTTGGGGCGCAGGAGTGAAGCCCTCTCAGGTGCCACCAAAGCGTCACAGCGCAGCCCTCGCTAGCGCACATCACAGCGTTGTTCACAGCAACAGAAACACAGAGACAGACTAAACGTCCAACCTCAGGGGACAGTGAGTCGAGGAAAACACACTGTGCAGACAGGAGTATATTTAGGGTCTATTTGATGACCATGGGAAGAGCTGGACAGACGGTGAGATGAGGCACACAGGCCCCAAACACCAAGTACAGTGTGATCTTTTTCAAATAAAGATGTGAACACACAACACATGACACTGAACAAGTTCACGTGGACGTGTTACAAATGGCAAAAGGGCAGAGGGTGACTTTTAGTTGCTTGTGTTGACCTATGTTTTCTGCAGTGAACGCCGCTATTCACGTGATGTTTAAGCACTAAAGCAAGTAAGCAGCAGCAGTGTTTTGGCTGCTTTTGCTCAGGTTCCGACTGTGCCGGTGGCTGTCGGGGAAGCCTGGCCGCACCCCCGCTGGCACCAGCATCCCCAGGCCCTGCTCTGCGCAGGCCGCTCCTGGGACTGCCAAGTCTGAGCAGTGGTGGTTGTGAGCAGAACAGACAGATCCCAGCTTTGGTCAGACTAAGGCAGCAAAGACCAAAATGCTCACGGATTTGCCAGGGGAAACCAGCTGGGATTAACCACAGGCAGGACGGCGGAGAAACCAAGATGAGGGTCCTCACTGTCAGAACCGACCGGAAAGGAACTCCAGCGCCAAGTGTATCGCAAAGAGGCAGAACACGGGGCAAATAAACGCTCCTACTAGATTCTGTTTTTTAAAACAATAAGCATAAGACATGCTCTGGCTTTTGAAGCACTAGCTAGTACTCTCGGGCATAAATGAACAGCAGCTCTCCCCCTGCTGGCACCGCCCAGGAGCAGCCCTGGCAGTGAGCGTGACAGACAGGTGGCACGCTGCTGTGCTGATCGGCACTCACTCAGTTTCAAGTGTGCGTCCTGAACCATTTTCCACACAAAACCCCTTCTGTGTAAACAAATCAGCCTCTCAGATTCCAGCAACAGAAACACTCTAACAGTCCACAAAGTCAAGGAAACCTTTGGCTCTTTAGTGGAATGTGAAGGGTCTCATGATAAAAGCCACAAGACTGCCCCGTTGTGGGATAGGTGACAACAGCAAAAGGCGGGACAGGGGCCTTTGTTGACCCAGGCCCTGGGGGACCCATGCGGCCTCTCCAGTCTTAACAGACAAACCAGGCTCTGCACTTGCTCTGAAAGCCACCACCTCCTCACTGCCGCCCACAGCAGGAGGGACAGGGTCGGCTCTGAGGGAGAAGCAAACACAGTTAAGGCGACCAGAGGCCCAGCTTCTCGGCTCAGGTGCTTTTCCCAAAGACAAGGTCCCCAGGAAGAGCCTGGCAGCCCCCGCCCAGGCCCAAGACTTGCACCTGGGGTCCACAACTTAGCTCCTCCTGTCCAGAAAATGACAACTAAGGACTTTCGGAATTGACAAAGCAAAACGAACAAAACAACCAGTTGTGCTAGATGCTCTGGAGAGAATACAGTAATCTTAACAGTCTGCTTTCCAAAAAAACTTACTGTCTAGCAAATACAGAATTTGTAAGATGGCTCTTTTTTTTCCTTAAGTTCTCACGTAGCTGGACAGAAATTACTCCCCGTGACCTGCTCCTCCCTCCTTGCCCTGTAGTGGGAACACTAACAGCTGAGCCTGCCAGGTACGACCTCTCAGTTCCTTTCTCAGTATTTCTCCAATAACCTTTTATCATCATAACCCAGGATAGCTGCCCCTCCTTCATTTTTTCTTTTACTACAAAAAAGTAGTATGTGTTTATTGCAGGAAAATGAGGAAACACTCAAAAAAAAAAAAAAAAGACAAAACATCCTTTTTGCAGCTAAAGTCGTGCCGACAGTTCCTTCTCTAAAAGGCAGAAAGGGACCCACAGAACATACTTTTGCACCTGGGCTTTTTCCACCTGCCAAGCTCTGTGCGTCAGCCCTCGTCCTTCACGGTGTGGTCTGCAGGGCTGTGGGCCCCCTGTGGCTTCCCCCAGAGCTGACCCCACCCCGGCAGCGAGCGCGGTGGTGACTGCTCCAGAGCAGTGGCTGGCACTCCTGAGACCCTGCCGCCACCTGCCTGTCCACGGCCTGACGCCCAGATGGAACTGCCGGGTGAGGCTTCCGCACTCTGTGCCTGTGGCAGGCCACACCCAGGCCCTTCTGCTCCCAAGGAGAGTCACCCACATCTCTGTGGGAGCGCCCAGGACAGGATGCTGCCCCACCCAGCCTCGCGGTCCTTCTCCACCCAACCCTCAGCAGAGGGGAGACAGCAAAGAGCTGACACCACACTACAGTGTAGAAAAACAGGTAAAGATGCCTCTGCAAGGGGACAAAACTCCACAAACAGTGGGGCACATGCGTGCTTAGGGCAGACCCATCTGGAGCAAGAAACTGCAAAGCACACACCTGACCTTTTCCCCAAGGCATCCGGACCCCAGACCTAAGCGTGCTCCCTGGGCCTGCACAAGGGTGTGCTGCCCTAGGCTGAGCTCACTGCCTGACCCTCGAGGGTCTCATCTGGCTCTTCCAGAAGTCTCTGTGCGTCACAGACAGGACTGACGGACCTTCCGTTCACACCCTCACGCTGGGGCAGCAGCAACAGTGACTGCAGCAGGTCTGTTCACACAGGTTTCCACTACTTTCCAGCCTTCTGTTCTCAGAGTCCACACACAGGCAGATCCGGTCAGTACGAGAGCGTGCGGGGAGCACAGGGGACACAGAGAAAGGAGAGTGCCTGAGCGTGCCCTCCACACCTGTGCACGCACGGCCCTGAGCGTGCCCCAAGCATGCCTGCCCTGCACGGGACCCCCGCGTGGTGCTCCCCGACAGGCGCCCCAGAGACAAGCCTGTGTCCTGCTCTTTGCTGTTGCTCTGCCCCTTCCCCGAGGGTCTGCTGCAGCCTCTCACACAAAGCCTTCCTCAGTGCCCGAGTCTGCACACAGGAGTGTCAGGGCATGATCCAGCCCCAGCCACCCCCGGGAGCAAGACCCAACCCCCAGCAGCCTCACAACTCAGCATGTGGAGTCCTGGGCGGACACACGGGGAAGCCACCAATGGTTTCTACCGGAGCAGGTGAACAAGCTGCATCCCACAACTCAGGGGGCTGCAGGGGCCACACTGGGCTCAGAGCACATTCCTTGCACCGCTAGGTGGTCACCAGCCACAGCTGTTGAGAACAGCGACAGCCTGTGCCGGGACACCAGATGCAGGCACACCAGGAGCCGGGTGCCCCCTGTGCCCAAAGCCCCTCCACGCCAAGTCCTGGGGAAGGGAGGCTCCCAAGGACAGAGAGGGCCACAGGAAGACACGTGCTCCCCAGACAAGGACGGGCTGTTGGGAAAATCTAATGTTAACAGGTCAGAATGTCCTTAGGAGGGCACACAGTGTTTGGGAGCGTGACAGGGCAGCAACTCCTACTCAGAAACAATCAGGAAAATCGTCCACTTGAAAAACAACGAAGAGCTGCTGGTCTTACCTGGGCGCCCCTGGAGTAGGACCTGAAGATGGTACAGAACCTGCCCTGGCCCGACGTGTCCCTGAAACACACAGGGGGGTGGGGTGTCAGGACGGCCATGGCCCATGGACCCTCCAGTGTTCACACTGTGACCCTGTGGGAGGCTCGCCCCAGATGTCCTGGGGAGCCCAGGTGGAGGGAAGGCAGGGGGAGGGAGGGCAGGTGGAGGGAGGGCAGGTAGAAGGAGGGCAGGGGGAGGGAAGGCAGGGGGAGGGAAGCCAGGTAGAACGTGACCAGAGCAGGCACAGGAGGTCCGCGCTAGAGGTGTCTGCACAGATGCTGACACCAAGCTGGCAGGCAGCAGAAGGGGCCGACCTCCATTCAACTGGCTGAGCGAGACCCCAACATGGGCCTGAGGGCCCCAGGAGACTGTCCTGCCAGGCTAGAACACCCCAAACCTATGGGAATTTACATCTTGACTTCGAAGTTCTGGGAAAAGCTCTGTAATGGGAAGCAAGTGAAGGGCAAGGGGACAGGGACCACAGTGGAAACAAGCCTTTAGGGGCAAAAAGGGAAGTGGACTCTACCAGAGCAAGACACCTGGGCTTTTGGTTTTTGCATCACGGAGCAGAACCTACTCCACGTTTACACAGGGCCTGCTTAAGTGGCTGCTCCAAGTGAAACGTAAACAGGACCCTTCCTGCCTGCACTGGGTTTCTGCATCCCACTGGCAAGCTGAGTGCTGCAGCCCAACTCACCAGAGCTCCAGCTTGACACGCCGGCCGTCCAGCAGGATGGTGGTCGTCTTGTAGTCGATCCCTGCAAGGAAGCGGAGGGGCTGAGGGGCGAAGGGCCCCTCTTGGAGAGGCTCCACGCCAGAGGCAGAGTGGAGGGGCAGAGGGCCCTGGCTGCCCAGGGTGGAGGTGTCCTCACAGCTCCAGCCCAGCGACCCAGCCTGCCCACTTCCACGCGACCAGAATGGGGTCAGGGCACCGGGTCCCACGGCCTGCTGGGAACATACGTGCTCCTTCCAGAACACGGTTCCCTGTGGCCTGCGCTGTGTGCGAGGGTCTGGGCTCTTCCCTCGGGGCCTCTGGCCAAAGCGGGGATGGGAGTCCAGCATGCCCAGAGGACAGCAGTTTGTCTGCACTCTGACCTACTTCATATGAATTCTGAAGGTGAATTCTCAAAAGCTAATGTATTTCCGAGTTTTTGGGTTCGCTATAGCCACCAGGTACTGACAATTGGAGCGTGCTTGGAGCATGATTGAAGATACGGTAATGTTTAAATTTCTATTTCTCTGGAGAGAAATATCTTTAGTTTTCATTTCTTTACACTTTTATGGGAAAAGGTCAGTCCAAGAGAAATTTGTAGGAGCAGATGGTGTTGGACACTCAACTTACACGTAACATCTTAAACTGGTTTATGACATCTGAAAACTCCAAAAGCTTCTACCGTTGAGGCTCAGTCCCTGCCCTTGCCTTAAAACGCCATCGGTTTCTTATCTTTTTATAACACTTGTTCCAAGAGAGCTTAGGAAAGGGCATTTTTAAAACACAGGTGATGCTTTCACACAGAATATGTCTGTGTCTGCGTGTCTGTGTGTGTCTGCGTGTCTGTCTGCGTGTGGGATCCACCCCTGCAAGCCGACCACACGGCGCCTTGCCTACGGCCCCTTCTTCAGGCATCAGCGCTTCCGCCTGCACCCGCCCTTCTGCCCAGCCAACTCCTAATTGCACATCGAAACCTGGTTCTCACGCATCGAAGGACACCATCAACCCAGGGAGAGAACAGAAGAAAATACCTGCAAATTAGACATCTCCTTAGGGACTGATGTCCAGAATCAATAAAGAAGTCCTGCAACTCAACAAAAAGAACAAACATCCTGATTAAAAAACGAGCAGCCTCTCTCAGGTCCTTGCTTCCAAGATGACAAAGAAAAGAAGGAACAACAGCTGTGCCAAAAAGGCAGCCCACACAGCAGGGCGGCTCCCAGTGCATGCCCAAGGACAGGCCGTTAAGAAGTCCCTCATGAGTTAAGAAGTCCCTCATGAGGCCGGGCGCGGTGGCTCACGCCTGTAATCCTAGCTCTCTGGGAGGCCGAGGCGGGTGGATTGTTTGAGCTCAGGAGTTCGAGACCAGCCTGAGCAAGAGCGAGACCCCATCTCTACTAAAAAAAAAAAAATAGAAATTATCTGGACAACTGAAAATAGAAAAAAAAAATTAGCTGGGCATGGTGGCGCATGCCTGTAGTCGCAGCTCCTCGGGAGGCTGAGGCAGGAGGATTGCTTGAGCCCAGGAGTTTGAGGCTGCTGTGAGCTAGGATGACGCCACGGCACTCTAGCCCAGGCGACACAGTGAGACTCTGTCTCAAAAAAAAAAAAAAAATTTACACTGTATGTACACGATAAAATTAAGTGAGAGAAAGTTGTCTTGTGCATGTTCTCAAGCAAAACAGAACACTCTTCAGGAAGAAACCGCATACAGGTCCACAGCCCCACAGCCCTCCTGCACCCCTTCTCCCCAACTCTTGTCTCCTGCTTCTCTGGGAAGCTTCTAGAATTCTGTCAAACAGGAAGCACAAACGGAGAAGACTTTGGCCCAGGACTTGCCGCCTCCCAGTCCTAGCGGCTGCAGCTCCTGAGATAGACCCGAGAAGACGACGCTAGAAACGGGGGTTTCCCACAAAGGTGTGGGTGCTCCTCCCTGAGACCAGCGTCACCTCCACGAGACGATCTGCCAGGCAGGCACGGCGCAGGCAGATCAACGGTGCAGACGCTGACAGCTGACGGCTGTGGGACTCCAAGCTCAAGCCCGGCCCCCCATCAAAAGGAGCTGCCCTGCCGCTGAGCCGCCCCTAGATGGCGCTGTGTCCCCGGCGGGGGCGCCGAGAAGCGCCCAGGACAGCCCAGGAAAGAGCCAGATCTGTCACCAGCAGGCCTGGGACACAAAGGAAGCTGTGCCGACGCCCCAGTCTGTCGCCACCTGCAGAAGCACCGTCTGCAGCTGGTCTTAGGGGGGCTCTCCCACTGACCAGCTGACCGGAGTGTTGGACACGCAGAACACCCGCCGCTGGGACCCGACTCGCTGCCCTCAGGAAGGGTGGCCTCCGCTCCCGCAGCCCCACCAGGTGCCCTGGGCTCTCTTCCCTGCGGCACCAGACCTGCCGAGGATTCTCGTTGAACACTGGTGAGGAAAAATTTAAGGTCACTCGGAACAGCTTAGACCTGCAAACAGTGGCCGTGACAGCTAAACGCAGTCTGCTGAGCATCTTGCCCCCTGGTGCCCACGGCCACCACCCAGGCAGAGCCCTCCTGGCCCCCGGATGCAGCTCCGGAAAAGGTCTGGACTCTCAGAGAAGGGACAGGTATCTCACCCCACAGGCCCGGCACCCGCATGGGCACCCCCAGGAAGGCAGGTGAGTGGGCAGCGGTCACTACACTGGACAGCAGGGGCCAGCTGAGGGGGTCCCCAGCAGGGACCCGGCCTTACAGCAAAGGCCGAGAGGCTTAGAAAGAATCCAGAGTTCCTAGGCTGGCATTTTTACTTGGGAAATTCGATTATCAAATTTGATACCATAGTCAATTAATATAAAAATGTCAAATATATTCTTCACACTTACTCTGTCCTCTCACACCCCACCACCTTCCAAATTTGTATGAAGACGTGTGGTGTGCTTTGCAGATTACTAGAAAATGCAGGCACACCAATTTCAAAGAGCAGCCTGCCTTGGAAAGGCAGACTCTCTCTGTCATGACGGCAGGACGTTAAGCAAACTTTTCTGGGTCAGCTGGGATAACTCAACAACCCCTCCCCGCACCCCATCAGTCCTTAAATATATATATATATTTAGAGATGGGGTCTCGCTCTGTCGCCCAGGCTGGAGTGCAGCGGCATGATCAAAGCTCACTGCAGCCTCAGACTCCTGGGCTCAAGCGATCCTCCTGCCTCAGCCTCCCATATGGACAGGACTACAGGTGCCTCCACACCCAGCCTGAGCTGCTTTTTAAAAAAAATGATGAGAAGTTTTCTTCAAAGTATTTGACAACTCAAACAGCATAGTGTGACCATTACGAACAGAGTCGGCTCTCGGGAGCCAGCTCAGCTGTATGAAGCCCACCCACTGTGACAACCAGGCCCAGTCCCAGCCCTGCGCGTGTCTCAAGGGGAGCCCACACCCACGGTGCGAGCTGAATGCACAATGCGGCAGAAGCAGCAGACACGGCAGGATGGGCTGCACAGGATGACCAGATCTCAGGACGGGGCTCAGGAGGGTGCAGGGCCCAGAGGCATGTGGCTCTGCAAGGGAGCCCTCTTCTTGGCAGAGCCCAGGAGGGCAGAAGCCAGCTCTCCTCTCAGTACAGCATCTTCTCCTTGACCTTGCAAAATCCACAATCAGCCACTCCCAGTCCTGCCTCCAGCTCAGCCGAGCAATGGCCCTTCTTCCCAGGCAGCACTGACCTGCTTTTCTCTCAGAAATCTCTGAAGGCCAAAATTCCACCAATGATGCTTGTTTTTGTTTTGAGACAGGGTCTCACTCTGTCACCCAAGATGAAGGGCAGTGGCATCATCACAGCTCACTGCAGCCTCAAACTCTTAGCCTCAAGTGATCCTCCTGCCTTGGCCTCCCATTCCCAATGTGCTGGGATGATAGGTGTGAGCACCCAGCCCATCAAGGATGCTTTTAATGTCTCAGCCCTTGGTGTAGAGAGGAGAACCCTCAGTGTCTCCCATCCCTCATCCCACGCTGAGCCCCGAGGGGGCTCTGGCATTGAGCAGCCACTGGGAGGACAGTCTGGTGGGAGAGGCGGATACTCCGAGGGTTAATGACAGTCCGCACTAAACGGTCCCCATGCCAGGACCACCAGGAAGGAAGCCTTCGGCTTGGAAGGTTTCATAGAGGAGCAATTATCCAAGCTGGGCCTAAGGGTGAGTAGGCATTTCACAGGCAGGAGGGTGGGAGGCATAAGGAGGGAGAAGCAGGGTGGCATCTTGGAACAGGGTTTGGAGGCCCGCACAGGGGCCGCAGGCACCGCGGCTGTGGGCAAAGGCTGTAGAGCTGACGGGGCCACGGCAGGCTGGACTCGGACACCCCCCCACAAGGGGGGGGTCGCTGGCGGTCAGCAGGGAGACTGTCCACTCTAGCACTCTCAGTGCCTGACTTATTTTTTCCTTCTGTCTAAAAGTCTTTTCTGGGCCAGGCGCCGTGGCCCACACCTGTAATCCCAGCATTCTGGGAAGCCGAGGCAGAGGATCACTTGAGGTCAGGAGTTCGAGACCAGCCTGAGCAAGAGCAAGACCCTGTCTCTACTAAAAGTAGAAAAATTAGCTGGGCGTGGGGGTGGTGCCTGTAGTCCCAGCTACTCAGGAGGCTGAGGCAGGAGGATCTCTTGAGCCCAGGAGTTTGAGGTTGCTGTGAGCTAGGCTGATGCCACGACACTCTAGCCCGGGCAAAAGAGCAAGACCCTGTCTCAAAAAAAAAAAAAAAGAAAAAGAATGAATCAGAAAATGCTAATAATGTCTGTCCTTTGCTATGTTTTAGTCAAGCACCTGAAACTGGAAAGCCCAGCTCGTGTCAAAGGGAAAGGTTTGCAGACAAAAAGGAGCATCCACCTATCTGACCCCAACAGGTTCTTCCTGCTGTGCAGCCCGGTCTGTGTGAGTCAGGCTCTCCTGGGCGGGGCCAGAAGCACTCCCTGGGCAGGTGTGGAGGCGGCAGTCGGTTCCACTGACGGTTTCCACCGTTTCCACGGGAGCTCCCAGATCTCACTTCCTGGGGAGTAGGGCCCACACCAGGCTGTCTGCACAAGCGCGCACCC